TAAGGAAAAGTGGATAAAAAATGTTGTTAATACCCCCAAAAAATGGATCACGGCCCTATTCCTCGAGATATAGAATAAAGATGGAAAAGTGCATTAATATGTGCCAATCATACAATAAAATGAAACACAGTAAATGATAAAGATGTCATTTTGCTTGAACTCATGAATGCAGACATCAAATGATAACAAAATTTGATAAATAAACTAGTAGTAGTAATAAACTACTGTTTCAGTCAAATTAATTTGGCCACTTCCACTTCAAACAGACCCTACTGACTTTCTGTGCTTATGATAACAAATGAAAAGCTAATGATGATGACTCATAAAAACATTGTAGTCGAATGCTTAAAACTACAAAATCTCTTGGAAACCATGAGGCAACAACTATTGTCAAAACAGCTAAAATAATGACACCATCATCTAATACTGGGGAGATCAATCTTTTACCATGGTTATGATTTATAAAAATTCATTAGCATAAAAAAGTGAAATCTACTTCTCAGAGGAATGACATAAACCACTAATCATACAAACCATAGGCTTTAGTTCAAACCATGTATATCAAATCTACATATCATATCAAAACTACATAACAATTCATATAAATCTGTCACTCTTGATCTAACCTATACTGAGAGCATCCTAATTTGTCTACCAATTTGAATAGTGTTTTCAGAGCCATTGTTAAAATTCACTTAGCCCTGGACAAAATGATGGCTATAACATAAAGGGCCTTTAAACTTTAAATCTGATTAATTTGCATCATCAATGAAAATGTACAAAAAAGGCTGCCTTTATTTGATCAAATACACAGTAAAAAAAACTGTAATATTGAGAAGAATTTTTTTACCATTTAAAATAACTGTTTTCGATTCCAATTTTTAAATGTATATAAAAATGTATTTAAAACCAATGTTTTAAAATGTAATTTATTCATGTGATGCAAAGCTGAATTTTCAGCCGTTTTCAGTGTCACATGATCCTGCTGATTTGAGACTCAGGCATGTTGGACAACAATTGTGCTGCTTAATTTTTTAGGTGAAACTGATACTTTTTCAGGATTCTTTGATGAATAAAAAGTTCAAAATAACAGCATTTATCTGAAGCATAAATCTTTTGTAACATTATAAATGTCTTTATAGTCACTTTTTAATGCATCCATGCAAAATAAATAAATAAATACAAATCTCACTGACCCCAAAGTTTTGAACGATAGTGTGTAGTTACTGTATCCCCTTTTAAAAAGGGATTTTCACAATACTATTGAAAATCTTAGAGAGGAGTTGTGGGCCCAGAATCTTGGCAAATTATTTTTTGCTGCTCTCTGCACATTGTGTCATACAGAGTATTTAATTTAATATTAAATCTAATATTTCAGCCATCCACTCTCTTCTGTGAGGCCCACAGGTTGTCTGGGATCTCCTCTCTCAGCATGCACAGGTAATGAGCTTATTGACACCGGAGAATATCAGAAGTCAATTTCTTTGAATTGTCCTAAAGTGAGCCAATCAGTCACACAAGTCCCCTCTGAAACTATCTTGTTACTCAAGCTCATGAAGCTCATCATCGGGAGACGCAGATCAGGGCTCCGGTGCAGAAAGCCAAAGAGGTCTTTTCCTTTAATCATGGAGTAGTGATGAGAATCACAAAGGGTATAATTAAAAAAGGATGAAATCGAAATGACAGCAAGGACTTCATACAGGATATCTGCTATTCCTCCTCACTAATTAACATGTCACATCGGTTAAAAGCTAAACAAACATCAGATAATGCTTAGCCTTGGATTTACATTCCCCGTTCAATAAGCTTGTGTCCAATTACCCCGTCCCCAACTGACCTCAGCTCATGCTCACCATTAAACCTGCTTTATGTTGTCATTGTGACTCTGATTCGCAGAACTTGATTCTATTCTTCCAACAATAGGAAATCAAGGACAGCAAGCAAGCAATGCAAATGTAAGACAATAATATATATATATATATATTATTGTCTTACATTTGCATAGAAACTAACTGAACTTTATCTGCTCCACAACAATATTCATTCAGAACCAGACAAATGTTTTAACTAATTTTGCTACAGCTGGTGATGACAAATGCTTAACACTTAACAACTCACTGGTTTTGACCAAAAAGGATTCTCAGAAAAGCCTTTCCCTTAAATTTAATTGCCAGCAATTTACCATAAGGTCCAATCAGTTTCCATTAAGTATCATTAACTAACAAAATCAACAAATGTTTCACAATTTATTCATCTAAGTTGGTGTTAATAGACGATTCTTCATCGTTCATTCATGTTAAATCATAATACATACACCTAGATTAATAACTGCTGGTAATGTTAATTTCCACAATACTTTTTTTTTTTTCACACAGTATAAAATACATGTTAAAGTATTATTAATTGTTATTTCGTGTTAATTACTGCATCAACTAATGCTAACATACACTTTCAGAAAAAAAAAAAGATACTTTAGGTACTAATATGTACTTTAAAAAGTACTAATATGTACCTTTAAGGTACTAATATGTACCATTTGCCAATACCTGAAAAATAACTGTTTTAAGATGGGAATGCATGATGTTTTAACTAAATTCTCTGTCACTCTTACTGGCTGTCAGTCAAAGCTCACAGGCTGTGAATCATCCATTATACAGTATTTCGCTTAACAATATGCCAATCACTCACCTCATATGATGACTGGATAAGGGCATAATGAGCCCTGATGCTGAATCTGATGCTGAACAATAAGCCAATCATTCACACTTATGATAACTGCTTGTGGTTTAATTGAACAGTCAGCCAGTCGCTGGACCCCACATGCTCTAGTCCAGTGGTTCTCAAACCTCTCCATGAAGTACTCCCAGCACTGCACATTTTGCATTTCTCCCTATATCTGACACACCCACTTCAGGTCTTGCAGTCTCCACTAATGAGCTGATGAGTTGAATCAGGTGTGATAGATGAGGGAGACATACAAAATGTGCAGGGCTGGGGGTACTCCAGGACAGGTTTGAGAACCGCTGCTCTAGTCTAATGTATAACATGCAGCTTTGTGCACTGGGTGAGAAAATTACTTATTAGCTTAGGACCAAATTGAACTATTTTTGCATGACTAGAGTGCTGACACCTGGTGGGATAAGTATTCTACCCAATCATAATGAGAGAAAAGAAGAGAGAACACAGGACTGCGGAGTCTTCTTGCCATACTGATTTTCCAACCCAGGCTCATTGGAAGTATACGTGCCTCTAAATAAATTTCTGTAACACCGTTATTATGTACCTTACTGGACAACCTTCAGAAAAATATAATCCTGTATTTCAAATATATATTCATATGTGACCCAGGACCACAAAACCAATCATAAGGGTCAGTTTTTTTAAATTGAGATATATACATCATTTGAAAGCTGAATAAATAAGCTTTTCATTGATGTATGGTTTGTAAGGACAATATTTGGCCGAGATACAACTATTTGAAAATCTAGAATCTGAGGGTGCAAAAAAAAAATAAAATCTAAATATTGAGAAAATTGCCAAGTTGTCCAAATTAAGTTCTTAGCAATGCATGTGACTTATCAAAAATTAAGTTTTTATATATTTACAGTAGGACATGTACAAACAAAGTTTCTGATAGTCAGTATGTTGTATGTTGTTGACCCATCAAAATAAAGTGTTAGAAGATATTAAGCAGACAGTCTACTAATACTTTAATGACTGCTAGTTGACATGTAGTTGCAAAGTTACTTACTGTTAGTAGAATGTCTAAAGTGGACTATCGAAATAAAGTGTTACCAAATATCTTTATGGAACATGATCTTTACTTAATATCCTAATGATTTTTGGAATTAATTTTTTTTTTATAATTTTGACCCATACACTTTATTATTGGCTATTGCTACAAATATACCCATGCGACTTATGACTGGTTTTGTGGTCCAGGGTCAAATATAGTCAGAAAGTTGCCAAAAAAAAGTGTGAGATAAAAACCTTCTGATCTTTACCTTGTGAAAAGCAAGCTTCTGATTGTATGCATAGAACACTGGTCATCTCACGCTTTAAAAATCATTGATCATTGCTTCATCTATGGATAAATGCCTTATTATATGTCCATGAATTTTTCTTAATTTTAGGTTCAAAATTTGTTATAACATTTTTCACTTCACAAGACGTTAACGTTAAGACGTAAGACGTTTTTTTCTCAGCTGTTTGGACTCTCATTCTGACAGCACCCATTCACTGCAGAGGATCCATTGGTGAGCAAGTGATGCAATGCTACATTTCTCCAAATCTGTTCCAATGAAATAACAAACTCATCTACATCTTTAAAGGCCTGAGTATATGTTTATTTTGGGGTGAACAGTCCCTTTAATGAAATCTTGATAGGTGCTTATTTTTATATACATTTATTAGCCGTTTGAAATAGTTCACCATAGGACATGACAACCCCCCACACATAAGCAATCAAAAATAATGCGTGACTCTTTCAGAGATCCGCGAGAGGAGGCAGATGAGGAGAGCGCGCGGCAGAATGTGACGTCACCAGTCGCACTTCTTTCCTACTTGTTGGGAAAGCGCGAGCTGCGCTACCTGGCGCAGAGAGTGGACAGCCCGCGCACGGAGAAAGAATATCCTGCACGGTAAGAACACTCACCTTTCACCGCTAGCTGTTGCTTCTTTACTTTTAAAAGTAGCATTTGCTGTGTGTAAATGAATAGGCTACAGTTTTGGGCATGCAGTGTTTTTATCCTATGCATGTTTTTGTTAATAACAAAGTAATTAAACTGTTATATTCTAAGTTATGTAAATAATTCGCATATGTTCCAAGTGTCCAAGTCAGCGTCTGTTTTCTGCAGGGTTGCCAATGTTTTGTTTCACCCTCAGATCTCGTGATGTGGAAAGAGACAGATGAAAGGCATCGACCACCTTAGACTCGTGGAGAGATCTGCGAAAGCAAGAGCGCAGCTCTATAAAGTAGGCTAAAGCACTTATCTCCGGAGGCTCGGCTGTCACAGAATGGAGAACATCACGAGCCCCTTCATCCCAAACCCAACATGCAACTACAGCATGGATTTATACTATTACGACTCTTCAAACCGGAGCGATCTGAACTGCACGCCGCCGGCTGACTACTTCTTTTACGCAGATCTGTACGTGGTTCTCCCGGTCATTTACTCCGTGATATGCGCCGTAGGTCTGACGGGAAACACGGCGGTCATATATGTGATCCTCAAAGCACCCAAAATGAAGACAGTGACCAATATGTTCATCCTGAACTTGGCGATCGCCGACGACCTCTTCACTTTAGTGCTGCCCATCAACATAGCGGAGCATCTGCTACACTACTGGCCGTTCGGCGAGGTGCTGTGCAAAATCATTTTAAGCATCGACCACTACAACATCTTCTCAAGCATCTACTTTCTGACTGTTATGAGTGTGGACCGGTACCTGGTGGTGCTGTCGACCGTGCGCTCCAAGCGCATGCCGTACCGCACATACCGGGCAGCCAAGATAGTGAGCCTGTGCGTATGGCTGCTGGTGATCCTCATCGTCGTGCCGTTCACCGTGTTCGCGGGAGTCTACATCAGTCCCGACGACACCGAGAGGAAAAGCTGCGTGCTGAGTTTCCCCAGTCCTGAAAGTTTGTGGTTCAAAGCGAGCCGGGTTTACACCCTCATACTGGGCTTTGCCATTCCGGTGTCTACGATTTGCATTCTTTACACCATGATGCTGTACAAATTAAGAAACATGCGCTTGAACACCAACGCCAAAGCGCTGGACAAAGCCAAGAAGAAAGTGACTATCATGGTGTTTATCGTACTGGCCGTGTGCCTGTTCTGCTGGACGCCCTTTCACCTCAGCACCATCGTGGCGCTGACCACAGACCTGCGGACCACACCGCTTCTCATCGGCATCTCGTACTTCATTACCAGCCTGAGCTACGCCAACTCCTGTCTGAACCCGTTCCTCTACGCCTTCCTGGACGACAGCTTCAGAAAAGCCTTCAAGAAGATGTTAGAATGTAGACCTGCTTGAATATAAAGCGCTTTGAAGAGACGAGTTTAGAGTCACGGTGCGCCATGCAGAATTGAATTCCAGGATTTGAATTGAATTTGAATTGAGGTAGCAAACAGAATTCAACTAAGGCGTTTAGCAATTGGGATTTGAATTTAATTTGAATTTTATGAAAAGGTTTATGACTGCAATAAGCCTAGTTTTGAATTGGAACAGCAAAGTAATGACGAATTTTATTGCTTGACAAAGCATTGTCTGGCAGTTTAAAAAGAAACATAGTTTAATATACATTATTAATATATACATATATTTTATGAAAATATAAAAGATAATTTAAACTATTCAACTATAAATTTCAACTATTGTCATTCCAATTCAATATCCTGTAGTTTGTCATTACATTTAGATTAACACTTATAAACTCCAAGCGTCCCAATTTTAAAATTACGAACTATGGTTACCAACCATAACTGAAATACATTCATCACCATAACTAGTTATTGGCAGTGTCTCAAAATAGTGAGCAGCTCATGTAGACATCATATTATTAAAATCAATGTAATTCCAATTCAATATCCTTTAGTTTGTTGCCAATAAAATTAAAATTTACACTCAGTTTTATATTTTATGCCTAACCCTGATTAAAATACAGTTATGATGAATGTGTCCACTACTTCCCAGACTCCCACATCCCTGTGTATTTCCAATAATAAAGGAAAATGTTTTCCTGACACTAAATTCTAATGTAAGAGTTTGTCTCCCTCTTGTGCTCTCTGTGATGAAATAATGAAGCTGAAATATTTTGAAATGTGCATCAACACATGTCTGACAGCAGTGCTCTGGAAACTTTGATTAGGAATTACAAAATGTGATATCATTGCTGACATCACGTGTTTATCAAACAGCAGGGATTTATGTATATATTTGTATAGACCTGCTTTTGTCACATGAAAGGTCATCACTTCCTGTCCAGCAGTATTTCATCTTAATAGCAAATTTGAGACAGTTGTTTAAACGTGCATTCCCTTTTCTTTAAATTAATAAATATCAATGTAAAACGTTTTTGTTTGTGTATAACCAGAAATGTAAGTCATGCAGATTAACACAGTGAAGCATACTATGTTACATGGCTTTTTAATACATGTTGTAAATAAAATGGAATAAATCCGTCTTTCATTTAGTCCAATGTAGATGTCAAAAAACTAATATTACCCAGGACAACAGCAACTGCCCAAAGTTTGAAATTAAGCATCATCTAACACACTTTCTACCTCAGAATGTTCCTGAATATGAGAAAGTATTATGTTTTTGTATTCTGTTTGTATCAGAACTGTCTTTTAAATTCACAAGGCCCCTCGCTGTACATTATACAAATTATAGGTGTATAAAGCCTTGCAGTCATGTTTTTTTTTAATCTACACAATAATAATACTAATAATACTAATAATACTACTACTACTACTACTAATAATAATAATAATTTAGTGTAAGCCGCCAGGACTCAACCTCATTGTTTATGTGGAACTTAAACAGCCTATACTGTATCAAGTTCTGTCACAGATTCTTTCCGTACACCACCTGGCAGTCTATAACAGTAACTGATTCTGGATTTGTTCGCGTTCTTGAGATCCACATCGAGCAAGAAGATATGAGGTGTAGAACTGATCAAACTTCAAACAAGTAAATGACAACATATTCCCGAATCCTAGTCTGGTTACTGCAATCTGCAACCAGTCACCCACACAATAAAATAGGATAAAATATGAGGTCTGAAATCATTTTAAATGAAGTATATCGTTGTAAATTCCGAATCAAACAACACATGCAATACTATGACAGCCATGGTGTTACGATAATAAAATGGTGTCACAAAAAGAAGAAATCATATAAAGCCTAAATAAAACTATACATTTCTAAATGTTATTATAGTACACTGTAAAAAGTGATTATTGAAAACAAAAATTACTGGAATGTGTTTCTTTTCTTTTCTTTTCTTTTCTTTTCTTTTCTTTTCTTTTCTTTCTGTCTTTCTGTCTTTCCGTCTTTCTTTCCTTCAAAGTTTCAAGTTTAATTCAACTTGCCGTTTGTTTGTCATTGTTTGTAAGATTTAGGCTACTACAAATTTTTCAGGAAAGAATTGTTACTACACCAATATATACAATGGTTTTGCTATATTGCTATACACTGATATATATATTATATATATATATATTCTGCAAAATTCAGCTCAAACCCTGATCAAACACACCTGAACCCGCCAATAAAAGGGGTCATATGACGTTATTTAAATTTTTCCTTTCTCTTTGAAGTGTTACAAGCTCTTCATAAAGAAG